TTCGGTCTATCAGACCTTCGGTCTATAGGGCTGTAACCCGCCCTATTTATGCACGATCTATCATTAACACATATATTTGTATAGTTCGACTCTATAGGTTTCCATGAGTTACGGAGAGACCGCGTTAGTTACATACCCGCCACGAGGACGTGAGCATTCTCCGACAGGAAATCCTGGCCCTGCCATGACACACGACACGCGAAGATGGTGTTATCCACCTCTACATCTGGATGCGTGATCCTGCAAGATGTACGCGAATTCCACTTGAGTAGTCCGATACTTTATAACACTTTCAGTATCGTTTCAAAGTAAAGGAGTAATTACGAAAGCTATTTTGAATGGTAAATATAACCCCACACTATTAGCAACTAGTCAACGAAGTTAACAACCAGTTTAACCAATAGAATGTCGGGCTATTATTAGGTTGGACCAGGGAGTCTATTATAGACTCCCTGGTTGGACGCATTGATGATCATTACAATAAGGGTGGGTATGTCGTGCATGCCAAAAATTCACTAGCAAAATCGCAAAATATGGACACGATACACACTAAAATACGTCACACTTATATATCGCACACGCTGTGAATAATTGATAGTTATTTGTACAATTTCATTCTATTCAAGTAGTTAAATCAATAGCAAATACGTATATAATTAATGTTTTCTATTCTATAAACCAATCATATTCATTTCTATAAAATTATATTATGCACCAGACTACATTTAGAGAAAATCTAACACATATCTTAGCAGATCCTGGCACCTACTTAACGTTATTATGCACATTTATTCATTTCGTATTAGGTTATATAGAATGTTCCCTGACTGAGCGCTGCACATTGGACGCATGATTATATGGCGCTATCTCGCCGTATATGGCCACTGTTCAAATATATCATCGCATATAGGCCTATGTGCCTCACCTTGCTGCGTACCAGAGAAGAGAGGAAACAGCGCTGTGCTACTGATATATTTACGTTGAATATTATTCACGTATCGCACTGTGGTTCACGCCTTTCTACGCGCGAATACTCCGTAACTCGTGCGAGCTCAAGTGGTAAAATTATTAGCACTATTTCAGTGGCTTCCTACGGGTTTCTAGCTGTGGTCAACCTAAGGTGGCTCATTCATTGCCATATGTGCAGTTTTATTTCTGCCCGCCATGCTGAAAGAGGTATAACAACCAAACTACAGCAATAATAGCAATGGTTCCCATCGTATTTATGTTTCTGGAATTTGTCGAAAAAATCGGATATCCTATAGCAAATAATTCCTAAATCATTACAGCGTTTCTGTGAATCTGCCATCGTTAAAGGAGACTATATCATATGTGCCATATATTGCGTTTTTAAAGAAATTCCCAGGAGCACAACGCCAAAATGCCGCCAATTTTATGTGGGACGCGGTTTATTACGGTAATTACCTCAAGTCGTAGTTGTCGGTGTCATTGTTCGATAGGTCCCACTCGTAACCTGGGTCAGTGCCGACGTCTAACACCACCGTCCCGTCGCGCACCCAAGCAACAGTGGCGCCATCGTACGACGCATTCACGCTGCACGGGAGCGTTAACGGGGTTCCTTCGATCACAGTCACATTCTGCGGATGTTGAACTATGATGTCTGCTTCCGCTGCGAACCACAAGGTTGAGAATGATTCATAAAATGACTAGATAGTGTTGCAATGAGCGTTCACCACGTGCTGCAACTACATGGCAGTGCACTTTACGGCTTCATTCTAATCCACCCTAATACGGCTTCCACCCTAATTATACGTCGAACGGCTCATAAACTCCCACATATAAAACGGCAAAATAAAAACCATTAATGTCGATAGAAGTACGCGCAACGGTGTTTTTTGTTGACGAAAAACCTTCACTTTGCGCTACGGTTGTTTCTGGCTATCTGTGTAAAATTGCGTTGCCACCATATTCTTTTGTAAACCAGGGTCGTCTTGCTAATAGATTTGGAATAAGAAGGAATCACTCACCTGTGTGACTGAATAGCACACCAATAGCAACGATGGTGATACCGACGTAATGTAGCATTCTCCCTCTTAGAAACGATCTGAAAATGATGAGAGAAATGGGAATTAACATCTAGAATGAATGAGGATAGGCGCACAAACACACGGAAATAGCACGCACACACACACATGCACCGCCCCTACCCCCAACACACCCATAACGCACACACGCGCGCCCATGCACACACCCACGGGGGCTGTTTGATTAGGAACGAAGACGTGTAGGGGCCCTACCGATTCATTACCGTATGATTTAGAAATGTCATTTCATAATGAACAAATTATCGTGTAGAAGGACGTAACGGAACAATTTGCAATGTACGGGGTCATTTCGGTCAATTATCACGATATACATCGATGTTTCGTTGCATTTAATATAAATACCAAAAAAAGTCCGGAATTGAAATTTATGTTACATTTCTACACCTATACTAATATACCCGCATACTTACACTCGATCTACGGCTATTTTCACCCCAAGTTTCTTCTGGTCACACTTTCACGGTACGTACTTAACAGGAATAACTTGCTGTAAACGTGTTTGCTATCATACGTTTTTTTTTTATCTATGACACATATAACCTCTAAAAACCTGTTAGCTGTTTAATCGAACTGTGTCGGCACTTGCCACCTTGTTACTCTCACTCAATGTTACTTTCGGAGGCAAAGCAGAATAGCACGAAGCAACCCCACCCACGCACATTGACCAATGTCCGTATCATGTGTGTAACTAACCTCAATGTACGACTCTATGTAAAGACACTCAGGCGCGGATTTAGGTCGGTTTGCACCAGTTTCCAGAAACCGGTCACAGACCTCAAAATTCACCAGAATGCACCAAATAAAGTCTCATTTTTAAAAAATCCCCGGGGGGCATGCCCCCGGACCCCCCTAGCTGCAGAAGAACATATGGAAACTGGTCACTCAAACCTTCTGAATTCGCCCCTGGATACTTACAGTAGGCATATTCTTATGAGCAGAGTAATGCTACCTACTATTTTTCAAAGTAGTGCACAATAGCAGAATCAGCAGGATAAACAACACACGATGTCATTAATTAGATTTGTGCCTACCTTGTATTATATATAACCATAGGATTGAACTCAAAGAACCTACCAAAAACAAAGAATAGCAATCAATGTAATATACTGATGATAGTAGGTCTCTTGTTATATATATTGCTTGTATAAGCAATTAAGTATACACATACATCCAACCGCAAAACAACCGCATGCCATACTATGTTAGTACGACTAGACTTCTGGAAATTTATAAAACCACATACAAATACTGCTATTTTACAAACACATTAACACATTAATTTTCGGAAATTCTGTCGCAGTTTCGAGAGAGAACTGCTGTCAAGTCAACGTGTTCGCTCCCTGATAACATGTGACATAATCGAATGCATAAATGTGCATTATGTGAGATAAAATAATCTTATCGATCTGCGGTAAATGAATCACCGACTAACATCGATACCTACCACTGCCGACATCGCGAGTTGACACCACGTGGTGAGCAATGACATATTTAAGCCTATAGTACACCTGCTAAGCAGATAATGTGAAACGAGTTATCTTGATAGCGGGTACACTCGACCGTTTGCATTCGCGACTAAGCTAGTCCACACACTTCGAGTGGGACATCGCATTCAGGTTTAAACGAGCAAACTCAATATCCAGTCACACCTAGTGTCCCTTTATATTGACTCTGTATAAAGGGACTCTATGTATAAAGGGAACTCTAGTCACATCTAGCTAGCAAACTGGATGCGTCATTCGTGGGGGCGGTCCCGGATTAAGCGGGTGTCAACAGCATGCAACCNACCTATATTCATTAATCATCTCAAAACTATACGATTGGCTGACTACGCGATTATATTATAAAAAATATATATAATATAGAAATAAAAAATGTTTTTTAAAATTTTAAAAAATATATATAAATTTGTTTATAAATATAAATAAAAATATTATAAAAATTATATCACAGATTAGTTTCAATTGCTGGAATTATAATTCATATAATTAATATAACGAAGGATAGAAAAATAACGGGATATTGATTTCCTGTACGCCGCTTTCTCTTCTCTCTCTCTCTTCTCTCTCTCATCTCTCTCTCCTCTCTCGCTTCTCTCTCCTCTCTCTCTCTCTCTCTCTCTCTCTCTCTCTCTCTCCTCTTCTCTTCTCTCTCTCTTTCTCTCTCTCTCTCTTGTCAACGAATGGTAGAAAATACGGATATTTATTTTCATGCAGCGGGTGGCGTATCCGTACTGAGGAGTGGGGGGGATGATCGGCGATAGCGGGTGAAATTACTTGGCCTGCCGGCAGGCGGCCCGGTCCGTAGGCATGCCAGATGCTAGGGGGGGTCAGGGGATGGCCCCCAGACATTTTTGAAATATTTAAGCCATTTCTGCAATGTGAGGCATTACTGTGGGCCATATCTCATGTCTGATGGCATTTCTCACCCTAGACTTCAACCCTTACAAGTTAGGAGTTCAAACACTTTCATGACTTTTCAGGCGAGGCAACACAGTTAGGTTATATTAAGTAATATCATGTATTAAACACCGGTAAGAGATGCAATTTCTCACAACTTGACGTGATTTTTGTATGTTTGCACCCATACCTTTTGGCTATAGTATCTTGTTTTTTTTTTTTTTTGTTGGATCTCAGGGGGATATTTGTACAAGACGCATCCCTCCTTCAAGAGGGGGGAGGATGCAGTTCCCCATTCCCCCCCCCGGCGGATTTACGCCCCCGTGCATACCATTTAAAACCAGAATGTGGGGGCGTGCGCGGTTGCATGCTGTTGACATCCGCTTAATCCGAGACCGCCTCCACGAATGACGCATCCAGTTTGCTAGCTACGCGTGACTGGATACTGCGTTTGCTCGTTTAAACCTGAATGCGATGTCCCCCTCTTTGTTTTTGGTAGGTTAAATTGAATCTTATGGTTATATATAATACAAGGTAGGCACAATCTAATGAATGACATCGTGTGTTTGTATAAGGTGTAGCGGTGTTCTTACGCACCACCACGGCACCAATATAAAGAGGTGTGGGCACCACCACGGCATATGAGTCGTAAATGACTCACTTGATGCTTGATGTGCTACGCAATGTCGGGCAACAACACACACATATCAATGGGGCGCAAATAACCCAGGAATTTGCTGGTATAAAATTATGATATATTTAACAAACAGATGTTCCGGAATAGTCGGTGACAATCATTGTACGGTGATCTTACGAGTGAGTGGCTGGGTTGTGCAGGTACGTGTTGCGTTCGTAATCTCAGGGTGGCTCTATTAGCAGACAGTAGTTACGAGGGTGGGAGGCGGGCCTGATGTTGAATCCTTCGGCGGCAGTGTCGTCGGGCGGTAGTTCTAGCCGGCTGCTAACGGTGACGTAATTATTCTCCAAGTAGTCATAGTAAGCATCTCCAAATGCAGTTGTCTCCAAATAGGTCAGAATCTCCAGACGGAAGAGGTGTCTAGGTGGACTGACTCATCGCTGAGCAGCCGCCGTGGCCGGAGCAGTCGGCTGTCGGTCCTGCTTTCTCGGCCCGACTGTCTCTGCTCTGGAGTGTCTCTCAGGTAACTTATTAGAGGCGTATTTATTACAAACTGCGTGCCGTGATTGTCTTGCGCAACTGAGGTGTGAGGTCGCGCGTTTTGGACCTTGAGGCGAGAGGCGTGGCGAACAGAGGGACCTCGGCCGAGGCTCCAGTGATCTGCGATTGTGTTTATGCCTCTTATATCCCCATGCCTAATTTTTACCTCATGGGTCGTACGCAGAGTTGCATAGATATACAGCAGGCCTACGTCTATCTCGGCTGAATTCGAACTGTCGTCAAATTGTAGAAACGTCACTGATGTCTTTTATGTCAAAGGAGAGCCGGAATGGGGCATACATAGTTAAATTCTAACATAGTCGGACATTTCTTTAAGTGGAACACTAAATAATATAACGGCGAGGAGGGTCCGTTATTTATAGTTGTTTATCCTGGCTGATTCTCTATGGTGACTACTTTATGAAAATAGTAGGTAGCACTTACTTCTGCTCATAAGAATCAGCCTTACTGTAAGTATTTTACATCAGAGTGTACATTGAGTTTAGTTACACACACCGCTCGGACATTGATCAAGTGTGTGGGTGGGGTGGTTGATTCGTGCTATTCTGCTTTTGCTCCGAAGTAATGAAGTGAGATATACAAAGGCTGGCAAGGATGCCGACACAGTTCGATTAAACAGGCTACAGGTTTCTGGTTAAATGTTAATGGTCTAGATAAAAAAAAAACATGATAGAAGACACGTTACAGCAAGTTATTCTGTTAGGTATGCTACGCTGAAAGCTGTGACAGAGAAACTATGGGTGACAAATAGCGTAGGATCGAGATGTAAGTTATGCGCGGTGATTAGTGATATAGGGTGTAGAATGTACATTAAATTTCATTCCGGATTTTTTTGGTATTTTTTAATGCAACCGAAACATCGACTGTTATATCGTGGATAAGTGACCGGATAATGGCCCGTACATTGCAAATTGTTCCGCATAGCAAAGTCTGCTCTGACATAGTATCTGCTTCGTATTCTTCCATACTCTACTATTATATGTAAATACCCATTCTTGATGCTACTCTACAGTGCTTTTGTCGAACTTCTACACGATAATTTGTTGGTTATGAAATGACATTTCGTTGTGTATCGGTAAATGCAATCCGGTACACGTGTTGGTCTGCTATAGTCCTCGCTAGACTCAGATTTGCTTGCTGGGTGTGCTGGCTGCATGGGCTGCGCTGTGTGTGATGTACGTTATGGGTGTGCTGTCGTTTGGCTGGCTGTGGGCGGCGCTGCTGCATCGTGTGTTGCTGGCTTGCTGGCCTGCTGACTGGCGGTGCTCACTGCTGCTGCTAGTATACTTACTACTGCTGCTGCTTGCTTGCTGCTGCTACTACTGTACTTAATATATTGTCCGTCAGAGGGCACCCCATCAATTCAAATGCTTCTTGCTTGGATTCATGAATTATGAAGGCA